GTGGTCAGCAGTGCATAAAGCTCTCTGCGGGACTTTCAGATCTGCACTTTTCTGGATGTCTCATTTTATCTACCAGACATGTCCACACTCGCTGTGTGTCAGGAACTGTCAGGAGCTCTTTGCAACGATGACCAGTTCACTCAGTCTTCACAGCCACCCGCAAGGCAGGTGCAGCATTTCCATCCCCGTTCTACAGGCGGTACAACCGAGGCACAGCCTGGTGCAGGTCAGGCAGACGGCCCTACCACTTCCCTGCAGCATGACTTTGGGCACATCCTCAACCTGGGTGAGACGCAGCACGTCTCACTCACACAAGGGCTGAGAGCAAGACCCCATTGCGGTGACGCAGCCATTCAACATGGGGACAACTTGGCCCACAGCAGCTGCTGAGGAAACCAGCTCCCTCCAGCTCCAGCCACCCCTCAGAGAGAGAAATGACCCATCAGAGGGCTGCAAGGAGCTGGCTGCTGGGAACAGAAGCATCCTTGAACTTGACCCTGCTGAGTCTGCGGGAAGCTCCTGCCGCACTCTCTCTCAGTCTCTGAGTTGGAGGCTGCCCCTCACCTAATCCTGGGGACAGGTTTCCAGGCACTCTATGATTTCGTCGAGGATAAAGTCTCAGGATTCGAAACCCAAACTCAAGGTCAGACAGGTCATACTTTGGGCTGGGGAGTAGTAGGGAGGAAAGAGAAGTGGTTTGGAGGAGGGAGGACGGGAAAACGTCCAGCTCCCCTCCTGTCTCCTGCGAGCTGGCCTCCCGGTGGCTGTCAGCACCTGAGTGAGGTCACCATCCCGCTCTCTCCCTTTGCCCCAGTGCTCACCACTGACTGGACAGGGGGGGTGGGGAGGGTGGCTGTCACCCCAGCCCTGCCTGGGACAGCTGTTCTGGCTACAGGAGAGGAGTCCACATACCAAGATCTGCCACCTCGGTGGGCCACATGAGCAGCAGCACTGCTAGCAGCAGCATGGCCTTGGCTGCACTGGGCCTGGGGGGACGGAGGCCAGGTGAAGGGGAGTGACCCGGCCAGGCCGCCCTTCTCAGAGCTGGAGCTCGCTGGTGATGTCACAGTGGGCTGAGAACCCAGGCTGAGGTCACACAGAGTTCTAAGATGGTGGTGGCACAAAGGGACCTCATGCTTGAGGCCTTTCTTATCTGAGCTGCCCTGGGGGGCTCTCCCTGCTCGGGGCCCTTCAGACTGTTTTAGGCCCCGTGCCTCCTTCTCCACGGAGCCTGCTCGGTCGGGCTTCTCTGAGCATGTGGGTAAGGTCTGAGGGTGGAGCCACCAGGCCAGACCCTGGGGAAAGGGCAGGGGGTCCCGGGAGGCCTGGAGCCTCTCCCAACACCAGCGCCCACGTGGCACAGTTGCCCAGGTGTGGATCTCACAGGTCTCCCCTCATGCTCTGCCCTGCAGGTGACATTTCCTGCCCCTGCCACTTTCTGGGTTTATTCACACAGTCCCCAACCTCCTGACGGCCCCTGCCCATTCCTAGAGATGAAGAGATTGGACCCCGATGGAAAGGCCCGGCGCACGGCCTCACCCACCGTCAGCGACTCAGGCACGGGACTGACTCGGCTGAGGGACTTGGAGCACCCCGGCTCTGCCGGCGGCCACTGGCCAGGCTGGGGTTGGAAGT